TTATGGAAGGTTGCATCACCCTCTTTTGCCAAATTGGGGATGTTCTAAGGCATCTAGGAATAAGAGTGAAGCAATAGACTGCTTGAAATCAAATGTAGCATTTCGACAATACATTCTATAGCAGCAGATAGAAGCCTCAGTTGAGCTTTACGATGTCCAGAAGCAAGACGGCCGCTAATGCAATCGCGATTTACACAGGCACCCAAATGCACTATCACAACAAGTATGGTACGATTCCAAATAGTGGCAAAGAATTTGTCGTACTTTCCAAAACAAAATTTGGGTCATGCTTTTGGCTCTTTTCGAAAAGAATACATTTAGGGAAATAAAGGTATTCGGAAGTACCTGCTTACAATCAGACTAAAAGTATAGAAGTTGGACTAAGGCCGCTAGTTCGCATGAGCTGACCCCCCGACCCAACGAAAGCACACACTTTTAAGCATCCTACTTCATGTTTGCAGCACCAGGCAGAAGAAGCCACTTAGTTGAGTTGACAACGTGTATTCTAGGGGACTAGCTCTCGGCTTGGCCCGAAGGCTAGCTTATGCATGCACCCTCCACACGATGGAAAGTCGTGGTATGCCGCAAGGCTAGCAGCAGGAAGCGACGAAACGCCCAATTCAGGTATCAACCGCTGCTTCTGCAGTGTTAAGGCAGCTCACATACCTGTGCAGAGGATTATTGCAAAATTCTTCATAACGAAAGGGATGTGAGCGACTTCTGCGAGTGGCTCGAGCTTATCCCTGCGTCCCACGGAAAAGACATTAACAACTGAAGCGGCAGTATTGCGATACAACTGGAAAAGTGCCATTGTGAATTTCCCTCATCGAATCCACCTGCAGATGTCGATGGTGGCACTTCCTTGAACCCACTTCCGTGCAGCACTGTCTTTGACCTCTTTCCTCGTTACGCATTCGTTTTACAACAGTATTTCGATCTCTAGCCCTGGAAACAATTGATAGTCATCTGAGGTATGCCTCCCCATTACATCATTCATATCAGACGTGACTCCAGATGCCCAGAAACTGCTGAGAAGACTAAGTACAATGCCTCTACTCCATAGTAGTTGATGCCTGTGAGGCTGGCTACCGGAAACTTACTTGTAGTTCCAAGTATGTTGTGATGGCTGGTGATGAAGATGTACCGATGTAAACTTTCAGACGTAGCCTGAAAGGAGAGACGAAAACCTTATTTCTATGTTACACGTATTCTACGAACAACGGCATTACAGAAAGTATCGGAACACTAGGCATCCTTTTACTAAGTATGAAATCTATGGAAGGT